AGATAGATAGATAGATAGATAGATAGATAGATAGATAGATAGATAGATAGATAGATAGGAAGAATAAGAAAGAAAAGGGAGTAGACACAGAAAAATAGGGTCCAGGGGTAGTGAGGAGGTTGGATATAATTAAGATAAATTGTACACATGCATGAAATTGTCAACAGATAAATAAAAATTATAAAATAAATCAGATATCCAACTTTTTAACTTTCAGTCAGCAAATGAAATTTTAGAAAAAGCCCAACTTAATAGAAAGAAAGAAAGAAAGAAAGAAAGAAAGAGAAAAAGAAGAATTAAAATAGGAAAAACATAGCAACCTCAATAAAAGTGAAGGACTTAATATACTTTAATACTTAACACAAAAATATCTTCAAAGAAGGCTTAAGAGTGAAACTATGCAAATACATAATAGCCACAAATAATATAAAATATTTTGGTGTAACTCTAACTAAGCAAGTGAAAGACCTGTATGACAGGAATTTCAAATCTCTGAAGAAAGAAACTGAAGAAAATATCAGAAGACAGAAATACCTCCCATATCCATGGTTGGGTAGGATTAATATAGTAGAAAGTGGCCATCTTACAAAAAGCAGTCTACAGATTCAATGCAACTCCCATTAAAATTCCAACACAATTCTTTACAGTCCTTGAAAAAGCAATTCTCAACTTCATTTGGAAATATAAAAAACTCAGGATAGCGAAAACAATCCTGTACAATACAAAATCTTCTGTAGGTATCACCATCCCTGATTTCAAGTCTTACTACAGAGCAATAGTAATAAAAACTGCATGGTATTGGAACAAAAACAGACATGTTTTTATTGGAATAGAATCAAAGACCCAGAAATGAACCCACACACCTATGGATACTTAATTTTTACAAAGAAGCCAAACAAACAAACAAACAAAAAAAAACATAACGGAAAAAAGAAAGTATCTTCAACAAATGCTGCTGATCTAATTGGATGTCTGCATGTAGCAAAATGAAAATAGATTCATATCTATCACCCCGCACAAAACTCAAGTCCAAGTGGATTAAAGACCTCAACATAAAACTGGACACACTAAATCTGACAGAAAAAAAGTGAGGAATAGCCTTTAATACATTGGCATAGAAGACAACTTTCTGAAGAGAACACCAACAGCTCAGGCACTAAGATCAATTATTAATAAATGAGACTTCATGAAACTGAAAAGCTTCTTTAAGGCAAAGGACACTGTCAATAGAAACAGCATTCTACAGATTGGGAAAAAGATCTTTACTAACCCTATATCTGAGAGAGGGCTAATATATCCAAAATATATAACAAACTCAAGAAATTAAACACCAACAAACCAAATAATCCAATTTTTAAAAATGGAGTATAGAGATAAACAGAAATTCTCAACAGAGGAATCTTGAATGGCTGAAAAGGATTTAAAGAAATGCACTTAAAAGCATTTAAAGAAATCAAAACGACACTGAGATTCCATCTTACACCCATCAGAATGGCTAAGATCAAAAACTCAGGTGAAAACACATGCTGGAAAAGATGTAGAGAAAGGGGAACCATCCTCCATTGTTAGTGGCAGTGCAAACTGTACAACCATTTTGGAAATCAATCTGGTGTTTTCTCAGAAAATTGTGAATAGTGCTACCTCAAGATC